AAAAAAAAAAAAAAAAAAAAAGAAAAACAAAAAAGCAAAAGCAAAAGCAAAAGCTCCCTTTAATGGATGAAGTGTGTTCTTACCTATCTCTTCTTGAATAGAGACAGGTGTGTGGGACTCTCTCTCTCCGTTCTCAGGGTCATCGGCTGCCTTAGCAGATTCGCTCTGGGAGGAATCTAGTTCACTGCTGCCGTTACTGTTTTCCAGATTAGGCTGGGTGGAGGCAGTGGTAGCACTAGTGTTACTGCTGTCACATGTCTTGTTAGAGTCTTCTAGAAAAATAGAATATCTGATTTTTAAATTGGAAATCACATAAAAACTAACTGTCAGAAAAGACATTTGTTTCAAGATTTTATTACACAGCCGTTTTAAAACTAAAAAATGAACATGGATGAATAATGCACTATATGGAAAGAAACTGGCAGGTACCACCCTGTGAGTTATTTTTTAAAGTTTCTCAGCTATTAATTCAACTCACAGACTCTTCTCACCTACAGTGCAAAGCAGAAAATCTTAGAGATACCCCAGACTAAAGAAAAAAACAAAAATAGAAAACAGAAAACTGCTATCTCACAGCAGTTTTGCTGAGGTAATATCTCAAACCTTGAGCTTATACTCTTACTCTTCAAATGTATTAAAACAGAATTAAAGAGGATTACTTATCTCTGAGGTTTTCTGCCTAAACTCTATGCCCCCAGGTAATGCCTAGATCTGATTCACTTCTTAGGAATTTAATAACATGATAAGAGTTTAGTTCCCAACGGGGTATCTAAATAAATTCTACCATGAACTGAATGCCTAACTCTTCTCGTGGACTCCTCAGAAATTAAAAGTCTCCCCTTGAGCTTCTGTTTGTCACTAGTGAGATATTCTTTAAACCACCTACAGGAAAAAGTGGCTGACTGTGTATCACACTGACTATCTGGAATGTATGAACTCATAAAACAATCTTATAGAATATAGGAAGATACAGGAATAATCACAAAAGAAATGAAGGTGGCCTTTAGAACTCATGGCAGTATTCTCACTTAATGTAAGCTAAGAAATATGCAAAACTGAACTACTTAGAGAAACTACCTCTTAGCTTTAGAATGGCTGAAATCCACAAGTGGCTGAAATACTCAAGTGGAGACACGGGCTGTTAACAGACCACCCCACACTTTGCGGTGGGGATGGAAAATGGTCCAAGGTGGATGAAAGGGAATTGACAATTTCCAGAAAAATTACACTTGCGTTTAGTCTCAATTTAGCAATCCCATGTACTAGCAAAAATACTCAATTACTTAGCTACTTATTGAAGCATTATTTATAATGACAAAAGATCAGAAAAACAATGTCCAACAATAGAGAACTTGTTAAATAAATGATTCATGCCGTGAAATACCACACAACAGGAAAGACCAAGGATAAGCACTACATTTACACGTAAAATGATCTCCAAAGTTAAATCTAAAGAAATGTACACAATTATTATAGCTTGCTGACTTTCTTGTAAGGGAGGAGAATATGAATTTATTGATATGTTTTGCTTTTGTTTTTTAAAAATACACATTGGAAGAATAACTAAACACTCACAGAAATGACTATCTGTAAGGGTAGGAAAGTTCTGATTACTTAGAAAGGCAGCAGACGGAAGTGAAAATTCTCTGCATAGATCCAGTAATGTGGCTCTGTAATAATGTAAATGTTTTTACATTTCCAAAACATTAAAGCTAGAAATGGAACCGCTAGAATTTAAAAACAAAGGCATTAACTGTATGTCAGTTTGTATAGAACCTCAGAAAGTAAACAATTACTTCAAATGACTCTGTAATATAATATTATGTCCTTCTAGAAATAGAAAACAGGTAAATATACAAATAAATATAGGAAGGACAAATAAAGAGCTTCAAACAATTTTTTTTTGTTCTTTACTGTGGGGGTACCGGGAATCGAACTCAGAACCTCATGCTTGCCAGGCAGATGCTGTGCTGCTGAGTTAGATCCCCAGCCCCGGGCTCCAAACGACTATTAACTGCTACTCAGGATTTTTACTGTCCAAAGTAGTACTGGTATTAGGAAAGTATTATACATAACATAACAATGCACATTAAGCTATAAATATTCTGTATTAAGACAAAGCAACTACAGAACTGAGCTACTGTGGTTAAAAATTAAGGCTTTTAGTGTAAGGGAAAGGAATACAAAAGCAAAGAGAAAGAAACAAGGACGTCATCCTCAATCCGAACTAGAATGATCAATGTAGACTGGTGGGTTTTTTCCTTTAGGAAGTATTTTCTATTTTCCGGTTTTTTATTTTTTGAGAGCCGATCTTGCTACGTATTTCAGGCTGGCCTCAAATTCACTATGTAGCCTGTGCTGTTCTTGAACTCCCAAATGCTGAGATTACAGCTGTTGTACCACGAACCTGGCTTCCCCACTTCTTTTGTTTTGCTGCTAGGATTGAAGCCAGGGTCTCCAGCATGCTAAGCAAGTGCTCTCCCACTGAGCTACACTCCCAGCTCTTTATGAATTTTTCTTTTGAGACAGGGTTTCACTCAGTTGCCAAGGCTGGCCTCAAACTTGTGATCTTCCTGCCTCAGCCTACTGAGCAGATGTGATTACAGGTGTGTACCACCACACCTGGCTTGCCCAGTGTATTTCTTATCCATCAAAGAAGCCTAGAACCAGTGAGAGCCCAACAGCAATAAGTACCTTTCGGATCAGACTGCGGTCTTTAAATACCATTCCCCACTACAAGGAACTAACATTTTTTGCGAGGAAAGAAAATTCTAAGTGTAGTGTAGGACTATCATTATTCCAAAGAACAAGGAAGCACTGACCACTGAGAGCACAGCAAAAGGACTCAAAAGCCAACATGAAGGGACTTTCACCGGTCAACAAAACAAAATGATTGATACTGCAAGCGACTGAAACAATCAATATAAAAAGACCCATAAAATTAATACTTTGAAAAAGGAAGCCAAAGCCCTCCTCCAAAACTGTGGAACTCAGTCACCACTGAAGATAGCTGGGCACCAACTACTGGTTCTGAAAGTCTGAATTTATTTCACTAAGCATTTATTTTACTCTTCTTGCTCGAACTCTGTTTCAGTGCTTTCAAATAGCTTTAGTTAATGGGAAGATTCTTTACAGAAATTCCAGTTTTAAAAAATACAAAAAAAAAAAAAGAAGAATTAAGATCTGCATTACAGCCTCCTGATTCTGGAAAGACCCCAACCAGTGAATGCAAGGTTAAGGCAAAACCCTACAGTCTCATTATCGGAACTCTTTGATTGAAATGACTGGTCAATTTTAGCATTTCTAAAGGTAAAACAAGCAGGCATGATGAAATATGAAATGTCTAGCATACTGCTGATGAAGTAGTCTTCCCAAAACTAACCCTTTAGAACAAACTCAAGTACACTGTAGAAAAAGCAATAGAAAAAATCCTAAATGTAGACTGTCCCAGAAGAGGACAGAGTGGGATTTGTTAAAAAGTCAACAGCATTTGTTTAAAGAAGTCAGGGAAGAGGAAAGTACTCTAGACTGAGATTCAAGAGATGCAAAACCAAATGCCATGTCATGTGCAAGCCCCCTTACTTGCAGTTATTTCAAACATATCAAAAATTTTTATGCCGGGCGTGGTGGTGCATGCTTATAATCTCAGCTCTCGAGAGGCTGAGTCAGGAGGATTGCTGCAAGTTCGAGGCCAGCCTGGGCTACACCGTGAGTTCAAGCTCAGCCTGAACTACACAGCGAGACCCTGTCTCAAAAAGACAAAAAGAAATAAATAAATTTTTTAAAAAGATGTTTTAAGTGAGGAAATTTGAATACAGCTGGAATATTACATGGCAGTAAGGAACTGTCAGCTTTATTAAAATGGTAATGGTTCTGTAATTATGTAAGAAAATGTCCGTATCATTAATTCCTTAGTAAGGTATGTAGGGCTGATATGATGTCTGGAACTTTAAAAACATACCTAGTAGGAAACAATCCAAATTTATACCAGCAAAAAAAGAGAGAAAACAAACTATGGTAGTTATACGGAGGAGTATTTTAAGGTAACTAATACAAAAGAGTAACATACATATTAGCTAAATAATACAGTTAAGACACTGCTCATGAACACAGTTCTTAGGAAGTCACACAGGTTAACTTGGTGAAGTAAGAGCATGTGAGCTGTACGTCACTTTCACCTCCAGCATCGAAAGTGTCGATTCAAGTTTCCCTTCACTCAGACAAAGAAAAACAAGGAGAGTAGGGGCTGGGGATGTAGCACAGCGGCACAGCACCTGCCTGGCAAGCACAAGGTCGTGAGTTTGATTCCCGGTACTGGGGAAAAAAAAAAAATTAAAAAAAAAAAAATTTAGGGGCTGGGGATTTAGCTCAGCGGCAAAGCCTGGCAAGCGCAAGGTCATGAGTTCCGTTCCCGGTACTGGAGAAAAACCAAAAAAGAAAAACAAGGAGAGGGGACTGGGTTGGGGACATAGATGCAGAGTGATCGGAAGGTCTTACGCCTTTTTTGGCAACAATTTCCCAAGGTAAAACTAAACTTTCAGCCTGACATGGCAGCACACACCTGTAGTCCCAGCACTCTGGGAAGATGAAGAGGAGAACTGCAAGTTCAAACTCAGGCTGGGCAGCTTAGGAGACCCTGTCTCAAAACAGAATCAAAGCTGGTGACGTAGACTCAGTGTACGTCAGTGTAGCCAAGGCGTTGGGTTCAATTCCCAATACTACACAAACAAAAAATTTATATGGCAGAAAGAGTTAAAAAAAAATTTAAAATCTGAGGGCTGAGGGTGTAGCTCCATGATAAAGCATTAACCTAGCATGTGTGAGGGCCTGGGTTCAGGCCCCAGTACTACCTACCCCAATGCCAGACTTCCCAGCTATGAAACAGTAACGTGACTGACTCGCTTGGAAAAACACACGCGTTTGCAAGAAAAGAAAGAAGTCGCACACTAACGACATCGAACTCATTCTTGGTACAGCTACAGAACATCTAGGCACGTACAGTACTGCACCTCTTCCTTCTGTTTAAAAAGAATCTTCTGAAATAGTGAAATCATAACGTCAGCCCCTCATTTTATGAGCTTCAGTATTTGAATTTCAAACTACGTTTTCTTATAGAAATATAAGAAAAACAGTGACAGTCTAGCTTACCCCACAGAATCTTTTCTTCACCCAGAATACACCTCATGTATGGATTTAGTCAAAAAAGTTATTCTGGGGTAGGAACTTAAGTGCTAAGTATTTATATCTTAAATACTTGAGCTCGCTCTGTCAT